ATTAATGTTCCACGTTATGCTGCTTTCCTTGCGCAGATCCACCGCAATCTTGAATGTCGTCCAGCTTCCATTTCCAAAAGAATTCGCGTTATCCAACACGCAGTTCTATTTTCTCTCTAATTGTACAATTTCTACCTTTAAACATCGCCTTTACAAACTAACAATTCAGTCTAATTCTTCCCGCAATCAAATAGCTTTCCCTCCTACTTCTGACTCACCCCGTGTCCGAACATGGTCTGCCCCGTTTTATCATCTCGCGCGCCTTTCATCTGTCTCTCATCTGCGCGAAATTATACTCAAAACACGTCTCGTCTTCGTTTCTCACGCGCCGATCCTTTGATTCTTCTCACATGATCTAACTCCGGATTGGTCACACACATTCTAACTTATTATCTGTTTATTCTTTAGTTTCCTGCTCGATATATCGATATCGTCTTCTCAATTTATTTTCTGTCCCACGGAATTTGCTCACGTGTCTTTTCACTGCATTATTTGTTAACATACTATGTATTTTCCGCACTATCAATTCTGTTGCCTTTTCCTTGCATTGTTTTCAAAATGAAGCTCACCTCGGTTTCTTTTCTATGCCTCCATTGTTGCTTCGTCCATATTTATAATTACGTAAGTTTATTACATATATTTAATTACCCTTGTGATAACCCATCACACTATTTAGGTGGCGTTGGTTTAATTCCATATCTATGCACTAAGATCGCAGCCCCAAAACATGCAAAAACACGTTTTTGGAAATTTCTTAAAATCTTCTGGCCGGATCCGAAAACAAACTATGAGTTCCCCATCAAGACACACGCACACTCGCAGTTACACAAATACTGTATAGGAATTGGGATTAAAACACCAACAAATTGCTTCCAAAGAATTTTGACTCCACTACGTTGATGTTTTTCCCGACCTGTCAAAGTGGTCCCTTCTTAGAGTAACTCCTGTATAGTACCAGTGTCGGCCGGTACGGAATTCTGTTGGTGGTGCCAATTTGTGATGCGACATCGATAACAAAGTGTTAATAATTATATTAATGTTCAAAATTAAAACATCGGTATTAAAAAACATCGATAAATAACCATCGATCTTTTTAAACATCGATGTTTTATAACTGGTTTAGTAATCTCCAACATTAAATTCGTGGGCAACAAAATTTAATTTTGCAGGGACCGTGTTTATTAATTTACAATGAAAATTAAACAAAAACGAAAAATAACAAATAAAAATACTCAACCTAGAAGCTAGGGCGCCCACAATAATCTCAAGAGGTCATTATTGAAGTCTATGGTACACAACATAAACTATGGCGCCAGTTCGATTAGGCTACGTCTCATCTATAAGAGATGAATACAAACAAACGTAGCATTTTTTATACAGCTTTAAATGAACCGAAACAGATCCAGTTCGTAGGTGTCTCAGCGATTTAGAAGGAAGCCGGCAGGTAGCACTGGGCAATTGGAGAGAGTATTGACAGAGCATTGAAGGATTAAACGCTCGTTCGAATGAATTACTGTAAAGAAAAAATATTTTGAAGAAAGGATATTTTTTACATATTTGTGGTGAAAATTATTTTCCTTCCTTATCGTTGGTGGTGCCATGGCACACTAGCACTACCCTTCAGGTAGTCACTGAACATTATTATGAAGTGTTTGGAGCAGGTCAAACTCTGAAGAACGTCTTTCCTCTGTCAATTGGTCAGCGACCTCAGTAAAATTCTTATCTCTGTCATGTTACGGCATTGTCACAATGTTGTCTCCCGGAAGATCACGGTCAATCGAGGTACGGCGAAATACAACTTTCTTTGGCACAGGACCCAACACTTTCGAACGCTGCGGTGCTGAGGCAGTGCGTTTCCGGCTGCCCACGCGTCTTTAAAAGCCCAATTTCACTTTCCCGTAAACTACATACGTAGTATAGACGTAGTAAGTAATGTTGTAGCAAAAGCTATTTTTGGCAGAAAAATCGTATTGTATATTTGATACCGAAAATGTGGATAATTCTTGTTTCTACATGTAGTAAATTATTTCCCCTAACACATATATTCTGAATCCACATTTTGTATGTCCTTGATACCGATGCCGAAAACTTTGTTTATGGTAAATCGTCTGTCCATCCGTGTGAACAACGCTACCGGCTAAACGGTGAGCGGAATTTTCGCCAAAATCGATATTCTCCAATCGATCTGACTGATGTCGCAGTCCCATGTATTTGAAACCGATGTTTTATTTTTTGGAGGTAATCCACATGAAGCCTCAAGGACGTTTCCAATTTTTTCTCAAAAGTGATTCTAAATTTTTGGATTAAATTTTGTTAAGGATATCATAAAGGACGTTTAAAAAATTGCACAGGTATCAGCTTCGTTGAAATATCCGAATTTTCGAAAATTGCAAAGTTTCAAACTTTTTGGGGGACTTCTTACAAATACAATATGATAATGGACATTTTTAGTCTGAATAAAATCTGTTCTTCAAAATTAAATCTATAAATGAGGACACATACTTCTTTCGAAATATGAATATTTTTCGAGTAATTTTGCGTGAAATAAAGGCAATTTTAAAAACAAGATTTTCTCAAATAACGCTGCAATTTTTTCTTGAAACGTTTCGTACAGGTAGTCGTCCATGGACTAAACATGATATACTCACCATTTTGATGTATTATTTTTTTTTCTTTTTCTGAAACTACTCAAAATATCTTACGTTATTATTTACATTACAGGCATTTTCTGTACATTATTAAGTTCATGAACACAAATGATTCCTTATAAAGGTTCTCGAAATCTCAAAACGTTACGGTGTAAATGAGCTCATGAAAATGTCGCATTTTCAGAAACGTTCAATCTACTTTTTCTCAAGACAGCTTCACATTATTTAATGGAAGTGCATTTATGACTATGCTTTACTGTTCTGTAATATTCTCAATGACATATTTCAATTCTACTATTACGGGACTGAAAAATTGAGAAAATGTGAAAAAATATCATTCTGGCGCTGCTAGGTAGCAGCTGGGAAGAGAACGGGGAATGCAGAAAAGATAGTTGGAAATTCATCATTGTAATAAAAGGTCAAATTAATTTTATGTTAATTATAGGGGTTACTCTTTTTATCAGAATAACTTTAAAGCAGCAGAAAAATCTTAATTAAATATTAAATTGAAAGAAATGCAACTTTCAATTAAACCATTTAAATTATATTTTTTAAATTTAAACATGTTTTAATCATCTCTACTATGGTGTCACCAGACACACACTGCCAATACATGCAATTGTCTACTTTAGCCTCTCATTCTCATCTTATTTTGCAATACATTTAAATCTTTGTACATATGAAAGATACAGAACAGTCCTTACCTTAGAGCATGCTCTAGATAAGTTAGACATAAGGGGAGGCATCACCTTGAGACCTGCCTTTTATTTATCAAACTGTATTGTGTTTTTTACTTAGCACTTTTACCGTCTTATTATTCATTTAATAACTACTTAGATATCAGTAGTGGCTTCTCCAGATAAAAAATGTGAAAGAATGATTTGGGGACTTCCCACTTGCATTCTAGTACAAGTGCAAATGATGCAGAAAGGAACTAAATCACACAGCAACTGAACTTTGAGCTCAACAAGCGCTCAACACCCCCCAAGGGCATTGGAGACACATTGGATATATGTAAAAGTAACGAATTAAAGGAGAGAGAGAGAAAAATGGACTTAAAATTAATTGCAAAAAGAAACTCTCAAATAAAAATATGTATTATTGATTACTTCAACTAACAGCATATTAAAGGGCATGTATTTTTACAAAAATTGCCCCTCAAACATTTTTTAATATTGAGATACTACAAATTTTTGTGGGTGCGTTGCTTCATGCAGAATGTTGGATGGATCAAAATATATTCTTTTGTACTGAATCAAGCAATGAGTTTTACATTGCAAACAACAATAGTTTATTCTTATGTCTCAAAGATTGTTATTCATACATGTAGACAACTGTTGTTACATTGCTAACACATCAATTATTTAATTTCAAAATCTGATATCCCATAAAAACCACGTCCATTGGAATCGTCTTCTACGTTCTCATCTCCTAGTAAAGTGGTGTAGAAGTTTTTAGCATCCCCTGGAATTAAATCCATGATAGATTTTACATCCTGAAGTTTTGGGACTGGAATTGGCTTTCCACTGCCACAACAAATTAATTTCAAACAGATTTGAAGATGGTCCAACACTTTTTGGTGTTAATCTCAGAAAACTCCCCTCCAAATAATTTCTTGATGCAAATGCACTATAGTTTCTCTTTTTCTAGCATTATTCCATGTGTCGGCAACCAGAAAATTTTTCTCATTATTTGTTTGCACTTTTCTATTAATTATCATTTGTTCCAAGTCATTAATTCAACTAAACTTTTCCAATGTTAACAACTTTTTTTTTGTTATCGATGCAAGGTATCTCTGAACCTTTGTTGGGCATTTAGTGCTTGCCCTGAAGTAATTATCAGTTATTATCATTGTCATGTCTCATCATATTGCAGTCAATCAGTGCCTTTTATAATTTCAGCCAGTGGCTAGGCGCCGTTAGATTCTGGGTTTCCTATACGGTCATCCAACAAGGAACCCGCAAAGACTAAAATTGGTGTCTTCAGTGCTTTCAAGGAATGTAGTAAACAAATTCGGCTAGCTTCAAGTCCATTTCTCTTTCTTCATTTCTTCACGATTGCTATGTAGTTTATGGACAAAAAAAAAGTCTTCATGTTTTAATGCTGGTTTGTGATAAGAAAAACCACCATTGTTATTACATAACTGTGTAAATCTTTCTCACCTGATTAAATAATACAAAGAGAATTATTCTCTTTGAGCAACACTATTCTCAATTAGTATTGTAGGTTTCCATCTTCTCTAGCCATGGGTAACACCTCACTGATTGCCTTGGCTTTCCACAGATTTGTTTGTGTCCACCAAATATTGAGAGAGCTGCATCTCAAAACTGTACAATTGGAACTCTCTCTCACTCAGCCCTTCACATAAATAATAATTTGAAAACAAATTATTAGTAATGGTATTGTAATAATGTAACTTGAATTGGTACTTTTTTGGACTTTGTGTCTCAAGACCTAGTGTCACAGAATTTTAAATGGCTGATTTGAGTCTTAGAAAGTATCTGACCATTACCAAAATTGTATCATTTTTAAGAGGCCACTACAGGATAAAATCAAAGTTAGTCAGTTTTAGGAAACATCTATTTAGAAAGATGTTAATCACATGTTTACTAATACTGCTATGGCAAAATTGGCTTACTCAGTAAATTAACAAAAAATAATTTATTCATTGATAATAAAAGGTAATAAACTGAATACAATGTTTAACAATTTTATAACAGTTTAATAGCTACTTCGAGAATGAATACATATTAGACCTAGGAAGATTCAATTGGAATATCAGAAACGACTAACATCATCTTCCATGGCCCTAGGAATCACCCACTCAGGATCTTTCATTATTTTTCAACACCCTTTATCCTCTAGAGATGTGCACCCTTAAATAAAATTCCAGTAATACAAGGAGCAAGAAAATATTTACTAAGGAACGTTCCTCTTCACAGAAAATAACAGTAAATGTTTTGCAATTCATTAGTGAGCTATGTTAATATTGCAAAGAAATTGCAACAAAAATGGTAATCAATTTATTAGCTCAATATATAATGCTTATTGTAGTTTGGATAACATTTGTATTTTCTTGCTTTCCTGACATCGACATTTACATTTGATAATTCTCAAAATAAGTTGTGTACATTTTACGAAGGTAGAGAAGCACTAGTATAAAAAATTGAAATAAAACACTGAGTTAGATTTTACGATGTTTTATTGGCAGCCTTTATTCTAAAAACACTACAAAAGCGTTTTCACTGGCCCATTAGTTGTTCTAGCAACCCGAGGCACTGGGGGGTGATGTCTGACTGAGAAAGTTGTTAGGAAGCCGATCACCACTTCGCTGTGATGAGGTGAGCGGAAGGTTTGTCTTAGATGGTGATTATCAGGAGGACATGACAGGTGGGAGGTGGGGCAGTGATGCCATGAAAGGATTATCAAGCTGGTTACCTCTTGCTAGAATAAAGATCCTTGTCAGATGGGTTGCTCTGGTCGTTAGGCCTTGAGGTCTTTTTCTGTGGACACAAAACATGTTTGTTTCAACTACATTATTCTATGATATTATTCTATTCAAGATATTAGATTAACTTACAATATAAATTTTATTGGATTCAAAATAATAATTCTGCGATCACAAGGTGAAAGATTTTAGAGTCAATATTTGGTGTAATAGGGTTAAGTACTGAAACTACAAGAATCTATATTTTATTTGGTAATGGGCTCAATACAGCTTACAGTTCAACAATCTAACCCTTTTTTCCCTCAAACTAAGATTTAGATTTACAAACTTTTACCCTGTGACTACAGAATGAATAACCTAAATGAGCAACCCAAAAAAACAAATTTGTTTTTAAATATCCATTTCCACTTTCTTCAGTTGTACCTACATTTCTAAATATTTATTTTACAAGAAAAAAATAATTGCGGTCAAGAACCAAGGTAGCCAAGACATAGATCATAAGGTGCATTACAATGTGCTCCATGAAACAAAAGTGAAGTCTAAACTTCTCTAACTTATGTACAGATTAAGGCACAGAGAGTAATTTCCTCTTGTGGATGTGGCATAAAGGAAACAAGCAGAACAAACAGTTAAATGGAAACTCTCCTCAAAACTTCTGAAAGCACAATTATTTTGGGTAAAAGTCTTAGAAGTATTATTTAAATAAGAAGTACACAGGACTTAATTCTAGTTGGTTTTTTATTAGGTTCAGTTTCAATGACTAAAAATTGCATTTTCTAGTAATAAACTGAAAAAGAGACGAGTAGCAATGAACTAAAATATTTATTTTTGAAATAGAATACTCCCAATATTTCTTTTTATTTTAATACTGAAAGAATTGAATAAAAATCATTTTTCAAGAAACTTAAATCAGGCAAAAAATGTTGTTCCACCACAACCAATGGATTTTTATCAACTGTAGTCAAATGAGAAGACTAGTTTCAAACCTACTGATATTCAGTTTGAATGATTTTGTTAGAGGTCAAACTCTTTTAACCAGTTTCCCTAGGATTCAATGATTATTACTAATTTACACAATTATTTATCTAAATAAGTTAACATTACAGATGTATTTGGGATTGACTGACTTTGCGAGCTAGCCAACAGTGTCCCCCATGACTAGACCATTCCCATGCTTGGGGGGTAAGACAGACAGGGCAAACATGACGTATTCCCTTCACTGGAACTAGCAAACTCTGCCTGATAAGCTATCACTTCCTTTTACATTATTGGTTAATTAGCGAGTTTTTGTTAGCATTCTAAATGTGAAAATGAGACACTGGCATTGCCCAAATTTCTGGGCGCACAAATTTTGGCAACTACAATACATTTTGTTCTATATTTCCTTTTACAGTAGTACACGCTAGGATTATAAAATTGACATTTGGAATATGAAGTCCACTGAGTCCAAAGGAACTACTTGGGCAGTTTAAGCGTTTGATCTCATGGAATGTGAATTTTGCCAACTTTCTATAAAGTCGAAGAAAACATTTTGAGTTTTCATTAAGAAGACTTTTATCATCCCTACTTTATTCATTCCCAATACTACAGTAAGTTTGAGAAGTTCCAAAAGACTTACAATGTTAGCAAATTATTATTTATAGAAAACAATACCTATGCTGTTGTGAAAGCCATTTCACTTCTCTACTTGGTCTTTTTGAGATAGTCAACTTTAGAATAACCAATTGTTTGAGGTTGCTGGGTTTGATATTATTTTCAATTTTTATTACAACAAAAATATATTTACATTTTGCTTCAGAAGCATATTTAGTCAAATTGACTGCCCTTATTCCCATCAACTTTCAAAAAAGTCATAATTATAACCTGAATTATACAATATCTTACATGAATATAATTTACATGGAAATCCAAACAAAAACATTTGAAATCTAATCATCCAGTTACATAAAATGAACAAAACGTACACAAATTACTGAACTGAAAGATTTCATTAGCATTTAAAGGTGCATTACGCTGAAATATAATAAAACTTTGAGCAGTTGTGATATGAAGATGCTTTGAGCAGATTAGCAATTTATATAATAGGTCAAATGCAAGTTTAGTAAGAAATGTCCTATTTACAAATGATTGGCAAAACAACTGCATGGAATAAACTCATGAACATATGATCAATAAAAGAGAACCATTTATACACGTAAGTTAGTTTGCTTCCATTGGTCAGTAACATTTTATCATTTCATATAGTGAAATAAATGAACAAAATATAAACATTTAAACATGTCTAGGTCCTTTCATCAAAAGAATAAACATGTGTTTTTATTGGCCTACATATTTCACAGGAGACCTGATCAAAGAATAATCTCATTTCAGACTCAAAATGTTTTAAAATTCTTCTCCTTCATCATTGTTTTCTTTAGCCTTTGTACATAAATAAGGCATTAATTTGATTCAATTTTTCATATAGTTTTATATAAAATAATTCATGAGCTTCAACCAAAAACAGTTGTGCAACTATAAATCTAACAAGGGAAGAACTCTTAAAAGTTACAACAGCAAACACTATTGGCAAAATTACCTTATTATGTTGAAAACTACACAATCCAAAATAATGTATGCAAAAATAGAGTGCAATTAAAAGAATGCTATTCTATTGAGTTCTGAGTTTTGCATCCCTTGTGATTTTATGAGATTTTGAGGGACTCCTAATCAACAGAGAGGAGTGTAGAAAGAATTTTGAAAGTATACAACAGGACCAGTAATAGGCATTATAGTGACATTTAAAAAAAGGTACTATTAGCCATTGACAACTGCTGATAGCACGTCTCCCAGGTAATTTAATTTACTAGTGTAAAGCACTTCTTTACATCCCATAGTTTAACTGTATTCCCTCCACAGCAGAATGGCCTCCGCAGTCAGGGATGCAGATCCCAGAACTATTCAGTAAAAACAATTATCTAAACTGTTTCCGCTGAAAGAAATGTGTTTTACAGTGTTATTACAAAAACTTTACTTTCAGCTTCACAGTTACTGACTGAGTCGAAAGCCCCAATATACCACATCAGCTGATTCCTCTGCGAACTGGTCGAAGTGCGACCGAAAAGATGATTTGAAGGGGGGACCTTGCTCTGACTTGTAGCGGCCAGTGGCAAGTGGGCAGGTACAACTAGGGTCTTCAGGGACAGGCTCAAAGATGGACTCAGGGATGGACTCGGGGATAGGTTCAGGCGTGGGCTCATCAAGTCCTGGACCGTCAGGCTTGCTGGGGCATTCGTGAGGAAGGATATTGATCACTGGACATTCAGGTGCATCAGGGATATCAGGTCCGTCAGGTTCGACGGGACATTCGTGAGGTTGAATAATTCTCACCGATGCCTCTGGTTCCTTTTCTGAAACAGCCGGAACAGAGGTCTTCACATCACTTTTTCCCTTAACAGGAGCCTCCACAGGACTACCCAACAGTTGAGAAGGTGATGGCAGTTTCAGACTTTCTGGTTTCACTAAAACATAAATCTAGATCAGAATTCTGAAACTAACTTACAATGTGAATAAGCAGAAATACTTATTCCATATGTTTTTTAAGTAAATGTTTCAATAAAAAAATTAAGACAATAATTCTAGAGTGTTAGGTTGAAAAAGCCAGACAAATAAGATCAAAAGGAGAGAATTAAGTTCACCAGTTGAAAAATATGATCACTTTCTTTTGGACTAACAAGTATAGTATAAAGACATATTTTTGGAATTATTCATGACTTACAATACTTCCTAGACCAAAAGAGAAACAATTTATCCCTCAAACTGTTGGTCTAATATTCTATCCATTTTTTGGCTTGCACCTCACAAATCTAGTGTTACATTAAAAGAGTAACTTCAAGCTTTCAGAAATTAAAAATATTGTTTGAGAGAATCATTGGAACACCCTTAACTCTACCAACACAGTGTTATGAAATTTCTGATGTATCAATAACTCAAAAAGCCACGACAAAGAAAAAAATATTCCAGGTTTGTCCATATCTCTACAGAATTCCAGTTGATTCAAAAGTTAGCTTTGCTCGTCAACGTCATACTGGAACCATTTTCTTGGAGCAGTTTTATATATTGCATTGCTACTAAAGTTCTCTAGAAACAATCTACAACTCTATACCAGTATTGCAGCTATACTCAGGTTTCAAATCCTTGTTTTTTTGTGCTTTGGATAGAATTAATCAGATTGACGGTGCGTTTTTCACTGATTCTCTTTCCATAATTTCTCAATCTGTTTGCTTATCCATATACTACATATATATTTACATAATTTGTTATTTCACCATTATATCACAGGCATTGTAGTGAGAAGTATTAGTGAACAGTGAATACCTATTCAAGGTTAAGTAGACTCTATAATGTCATTTCATCTCTTTGCAATTCAAGTCATGTCAAAGACTAAAAAAAATTCACATTCCAAAATCGTCATGTATTTTTTAATTTTTTACCCATCAATATGCTTTAAGAACTACTTTGGAAGTTTTTTGATTCTTTCATCATTTTTTGTAATCATTATAATGAAGAGTGCATTGGGATATCATGTAATGTGACCACACAAGGGTACTTTAATTTTTTTATTTTCATGTGATTAGATCAATTTAGTATTTTTACCTAATCTTTTCTAGTATTTCAAGTTTCAAAAAATATTTTGTAGGAAAGGGAAGAGGGGCTGGATACTTGTTCAACAATTTCATTGCAGATAACAATCTTGGTCAATTATACTGGTGAGATGATTCATGGAGAAAACAACATCTTGAAAGTTTTAATGTGTCCAGATATGGAAATGTAGGGACATGTCTCTCTTTAAAAAAGTTGGAGACAAATATTCCTGCACCTCAATGTTAAATTAGTGATGTTATTACATACTCTATTGCATTATTTCCCAACTTCTGCAATTTTTGGAAATTGTGATAAATAAAAAAGAGAACTACATCATTTTTTAAGCATCCTTTACATGAGGAAAAAATTTGGGGCCGTTCTTGAGAAAAAAATATAAATTGCTTTAACTTCAAGCACAAGTTAGGCAACACTACTTGTTTCATCACAAAATTGTTCATTACCTTATTTAACCCTCACCGCCAGTGGGACCAGGCCTGTAGGATCTACAGAGAATTTTCATTAGCAACTGTTGACACTCCTGTGCTGTTCTTGACCATGAGACCACCACATAAATCTCATTTAGTATCTTGAACACTGATTGATGATATCAACCCTGTTCCAAATCACTGAATATTGGGTAAGCAAGTTTTTCTTTAAATACATAGAGGTCTGAGACATGTTTCCAGCTCACAATAAATTTTAATTAGTCGATTTTTAATTCTGCTGAAATATGTCTGTCTTTCATTGTTGTCCAGATGGATGTCCCTAGTTCTTCATATCAACGAACATAGAATCTTCGGAACCAGTTATCTGCACTTTGCAGAGTTACTGCCAGTTACCTTTATTAGTTTCATTAATTGTTTTTCGAAATTTTGTGTGAATTTTTTTTAGATATTTGTTTTGTTTGCATTGATAATGATTCAGTTTTTGATTTCTCTTTCCCCTTATTACTATTCTTTATTTTTCCAAAAATATTACTACTTAACTACTATATTTAAAATATTTACTTAACCTATTGTATTAAAAGGGTTTTAGAGAACAGCTAAGAGTGGAAATTAATATAAAAAAAGGACCTATGAGGTATAAAACATGGGAGTCTGACAGGCCTACCTGTGGCCTAGCAAGTGAACATTAAACCTGTGGCGGTAAAGGTTAAAGACAGTCCACCGAAAATAGGACCAACACTACTTTTTTGCCATCCTTAGACACAGAATATCCTTAGACGAACTGAGAATGCCAAAAAAAGGTTAGAAAAAGGTTTGCAACACTTCAGAATGTGACATACAATGGTCCCTTCAGATATTTCTTTCATACAATGGCTATAAATATATACACCTCTTCCCAGCTAGACACTTATGTCATGAAGGCTCCCTTCTCAGTTCGTCTCCCTTGAGCATTTTATCTTGAATTACACCATCATATTCATGACATTCTGACTATATTGAGTCCATTTGCTTTTTGAAGAAATGTGGCTTAGATTCAAACAGAAATTCAAACAGTTGTCTTCATTGTCACTCATATGTTTAAGAGATTTTAGCAGTTTGAACATCTTCCATTTTCTGGCCTCCAGGGACAGTGAGAAAAGGGCTCCCATCTGACACTTGTTAGAAGAGAGATTGAAATACTCGTAATATCAGCTGCCCCTGTTCTACTTCTCCGAAAAAGGAAATGTAAGTACTCTTAAAATTCTTTTGAAACTTACCTCCATAAATAAAATTATACGTTATTAGTATATACTTTTTGGCAGTTTCAAAGGTATCTTCAGAAATATCAGCTACTTCGTTTGGGTAGCACACTGCTGCCATAAGACCAGCACATGTTGAGCCATAAATGATTCGCCTAAACCATCCACCCCGCAAACCGAGGACTACACCGGCCAAACCACTGATTGCTATTGCCCCAGCTCGAGGTACAGGAAGTTCATCTTTTCTCAGCTGTTCAATTAAAACTGAAAACAAATTAATTTCTTTAATGCAATGTACACTGAAGAATGACTAGGAAGACTTATGCTATCCTAAATGATTTTTTATCATGTATTTCTGAAAAAGCAATACAGTTATCCAAAAGCAACCCTTCTCAATGTTCTGCACATCTCCAAAAAATTGTTCTCAGTAGTGTAATTTTGTCTTTTAAGAACTAAGTCTTTTTCATGGGGAGGGGAGGGGGAGATTGCAATATGAGAAATTAATACATAGCTTCAAATTTATTTCCCAAAAAATAGTATAGTAAGGTGCCTTCATTTTGTGTATGCAGCTCAACTGCCACTACTGAGGGTTTCAACCACCACTCAATCACACTTACTGCCATTATAAATCTACCATGAATCATAATTTTGTTGAAAGTTCAATTGAAGACTCATTGTTTTATTGATATTTCTTTCTTCTAGTAAAATTCACATCTGCCTTGGGGAGAATTTAAAGATTAATATTTTTGAGTTAGTTTTATGGAACTGTTAGGCTTCAAGGCGGCTTAATCTGATCACAAATTTTGTCTGATTACAGTCAGGAGATAATACAACATGGTATTGGATTAATGTTGGTAATATGCATTAGTTTATTATTTCTTTTTTTATAGTTTTATAATGCAATATTTATTTTGAATTAAGTAATTTTGTTATGTAGGTAGGATCAATATAATGTGAGACGTACCTCGCTCAAGTTGGCAGAAGTATAGCAGGATCACATTAAAGCAGGGAGAGACAAGCAATTATCACATAATGGTAACTTCAATGCTTGTTTTTTTAATGACAACTTCCAGTACATTTCTAAAGGTAACTGTTCCTATCCCACTCCTACTTTCCTAAAACCTGTACTCCTTCTTTGTTTTGGCACCGTGGCCTTTTGTGACATTTGCCTTCTTTCAATCTTGGGTACTTTTTCTACATTCATTTCTGTTCTAAGTATCCTATGCATCTCAAAATCTTTCATCGCATTTACAATGGTTTTGATTGGTTTTTGAATGTCACTGCGACTGAACAAGAATACATATCATCAGCCACTGAATTTTTAAATCGTTTTCCTTTCTTCTGTACCAACGGCTTTTGATCCCAAAATAATTCTGCAGCACGTTGTTAAAACAAAACTTCACCTCTTGTTTTTATGTTATCAGTGCCTGATAAATACACCTCTCTCTTATTAGCAAAATGTTTTATCTCAAGGCACTAAACACTAGCAGGTCACTTATTTTTTTTTACACTGACAGGATTTGGCAACAGCATGACATTGACAGGAAGCAAGTCCACATTTGCATTTACTTTTGTCTTCAGAATCTTCAATTGCATCATTTGGAGCTTGAAAGGGAAGATAAGAATGATATTACTTGCAACATCATCTGCTTATTTGTTGCTTTTGATCAGAACTCACTGTTAATACATTTTAAAAAAATCAATTGATGTATGCAATTTGGATATATGTGGATTTCTTGCCACCCTTTTATTTACTGTCAAGAAGTAGAGCAGAAAGTCAAATTGATAAACCCCCTCAAGCTCTTAACAATGCAATATTGAATGAATATTACAAATTAAAATGCACTTACTCTCCTGGTAATTGCTGAAAAAGAAGTGACTTTCCACTATACTCCCTTACAGTCAAGACCTTTTACAACTGACTAATACCCACACAAACTATCATTGAAGGAACATGTGACCGTTAAAAAAATTCAATTTTGTTGGAGAGGACTTTGATTACAGTGAAGACTGTATGCTACTGACAAGTAAAAGTTAAAATATTTAAGATAACTTACCAGATGAGTGCTCTTTTCCAGTTATTACCACATCCTTAATTTTCTCTTTGTAACCTTCGTATTTATCAGACCATACCCACAATTCTTTCCGTATCGCACTAATTCCTTTTTCTAGGTTACTTGGTGGTTCATCACATGGATCCCCTCTAAAAGTATGAAAAAAAAAATTATCTATGTACAATAATTTTGCTTAGGAATAAAGAGATGAAGTCATACATACTTTTCTGGATGGGTTTCACTATACAATGGCAGGTCAGTGCGTCGCATTAACTTTCCCGTACAAGGGTCGCAGTTGTCACCAGATTCACCCTGTCCTTGCTTTCCATCCTTTCCAGTTTCCTTGTCTCCTCCAGTTAAATTTCCTCCCTGTCCGTCCCCAGATGTGAGAGCGGTAGCAGCGTAAGTACCTCCAGAAAGGAGGAACTTTTTAAAATACTACAACAAAGAATACATTTTGTCGTTAATTATTCACATCTCAACATCAAACATGTTATTTTTATTAGCATGCGTTAACACATTCATTGAATATAATATTAAATGTCCGCACGTAACATAACCCATTTTCAAAAGCAGGTTAAGGCTATGGAATATTTTTTTTATGTTCAAAAAATCATACCGAAGTTCGGAACATGTTCTATTTGAAGTATTTACAATATTTAAATTAAATAATACAGCACACGTCACATTTAATAGCACGCAATCGTTACAAGTGATCTAAGATGCCATTTACATATTAGATGGCCGCATCCATCTTTAGAAAAGGAACAATTGACAAACGCAATGCGCCAAGCAAACATCAGGTGCATGAACTATTTTTAAATGCCATTGACACGCAAGCTTTATCCAGTAATTTGGTCATCGCATATCGTAACTGAATTCCTGTGTGAACTTTGAGTTCCTCTGGTAGCTAAGTTAGTAGAGCGGTGGACTGTTGGTATTGAAAATTTCAAAAGTTTAAATTTTTGGGGGGGTCTTTCTACAACTACAAAATTAAAGATAGACATTTTTCCTTCAAGTGAACACAATAATGACAACAGATTTTATGTTGAACAATTTTTAGCGTAGCCAGATGATTTGGCACGCCGTTTCCCGAAATCTATAACAATTTCCTGGGTTAAAAAGAGGAAAATCAAGGATTAAACATCTTCCGAACTGAAACTAGTAACAGTATGTTTCCAGCCTTTTGTGTGGCTAGTGTTTCGGTATATTCACGTAGTATCTATAGTACTACTAATCTTTAGAAATAATTATTTATGTGAGTATATATTGAAAGAAGCTTCTGAAAGAAGTATAGTTACTTTAAATACGCATGAACTCCGAGGGAAATCTAAAACCAATGAAACAGTTTCGCTTTTGACTGAAAAATGCAAATACGTATATTTTGTTTCATTCCTTTCTCATATTGCACCTACCGAATGCACCATTATTTACAGAACGTCTTTGTTAACGACACAGCGAAAATAGGCTAGGCTAAGCTAAGCTAAGCTAAGCTATAGTGCATCAGCAAGGCTCCAAAGAAGAGACCCTTACCATGAAAGTTTTGCTATTTTTGTGTTGCGTTACGGAACAGCAACTTTTTTACGTTCTTGATATATAAAGAACTGAAGACTATATACTATACTACGTTTTTGCAGTATTTGTGAAGTCTGTTTAAAAAAAATTATTGAAGTTTCATAAGAGAATTTTATGAATTATTCTTCAGCAGTGTGCGTGCAACATCTTGGAAAACCATTTTGAGTGGCTTTGTTGAGCACCATTTTTGTTGCTGCAGGCCTCTAGTTAAGAACGAAAATTGCTTCCAGGGAGGTAGGGAATGAGATGCAACAACTATCGCTCATCATGACACTTTAGACTTGTTCGAGGGATGAAACGCACAAGGCGCAATCTTTAAATACGATTTCAGTGTCGACGTCATGTGTTTTGATATGATCTGCACTTGGTACTATTTTCGCACGTTTCTTAAGTCCTCGTAATATGAGATGAGAGAAGTTCTTAGTTCGTCGACAGCACTATCAAATATAATCTGCAGCTTATTTTCGTAATAGCAAATACTTTATTACGCAAGAGTGAACATTTCTTGTTATCAAATGTTTCCAATAACGCTAGTTACTACATTTTGATCATAATCAATTATGTATTGTATAAGAGGTATTCGGAAGTTTAAGAAATTGGGTAGAGAAGCGTGTTATTAGTATAAAAGTCGTATTCTCAATAGATTTGACAGGCGCTTGCAGGTTCTTAATTTTGAAATGATTTGACATTTGCTCGTCAAAACAATACACGTTCAATAAAATAATGAAGTATATATAGTAATTGATATGTAATAAATATTTTAAAAATAAAGTATGAAATTGGATCTGAATAAGTTACGCTGACTGCTGCACTCTTCCCAATTAGAAGAGAAATCTTTTAATCATAATAAAAAATAATTTTAAAAAATCACGATGTTAACCAGTGACGACAGGAGAATTTGTTTCGCGGAGTGTGATTGCAAATTAGGAAGAAAGCCTAAGCAGTATTTAGAAAGACAACTAGCCACTTACGTGCAATTTTAGCGCCATTTTGATCGACGGAGGATCAGAAGCTGTCGCCTGTCCATCACTGCGGCCTCCTAACGTATCCTAGCAACTAAGTGACAATGTTCAGGAAGGAATATCGAATCAACGAATATCGAAAATATCAGTCGACTGACATATCCAAGACTATAAAATATCAGAATCTTCTACAGAAGTCAGTGGTGCTACTCTGCTACTTCTGTGGATTGTTCACTATCCAGACTCCCACTCTGTTGTTTATCGAAGATGAGTGTTTGTACTCTTTTTAAGAAATGGAGTGCGGTGGAAACGAAAAAGGGAAACGTTCGATAGTAAACCTTCTTTGAATCATTTGAGTTGCTTCAGGGATGAATAATTGGAGAAATTAATTCCTCCGATAGAACTGAGGTCTAGTAACGACGAGATGGATCTATTCGGTTGACTGTACAATAAAAATGCTAAATTAATCACGTTTTCAGAGTCTGAATGGTCGCTTTGTTTTCAACGTTTACGTTCGTTTTTCTTCATTCATCTCCCGGTGTAAGTAGTTTCCGAAGGTTGTCAGTGTCAGAGCATAAACTACAGTAGAAGCTGGAGCAGCGTTGTGTACATACGTTCACCGCCTCCTGACCGCAACAAACGAGGACACCCGGCCGGAATTCTGTCGTGTCTTCTACAACGTGTTCGACGTTGCCCAAGATCTCTGAGGGGCTGAGGAAGAAGGTGTTGTGGAACATCGAGTGCCGGCGCCCTACGTTGCGCCCCTCGGGCCCCGGGCTGCGGGCTGCCGTCCGCCAAGGTACGCGACCTGCGACTTTCAAAATAAACTGAGGGCTCTGGAAGATGTTGCGGCGTAGTGTTTTGTTTGCCGCAGGGCCTCCTGCGATCACACGGACATCGGAGAAAGATTCTCTGGAAAACCTTGGCTGTAGTGTAATGACGTGTGAAGAATAACTCAGAGAGGAATTATTTTAACCATCTTGAACAATAATTCTTATTCAAAATAAAAATGTTTTCGCTTGATATCCTTTCTGCCCCTCTATTACATAACTACATTCTCAACGTTTTTCACATTTGTATTAAACAATAGTTTGAAAATTTCATGCAAAAATATCATTTTCTTATAAAGGGGTTTAAAGATTTTCAACCAGATTTTTAAATAAAAAATATTTTTTACCCATAATTTAAAACAAAATTTATTCCATTATGAAAAGGATTGTAGCCCGCACGATTTCATTACTTTCACTGTACTACTTACAAAGTAAGGAGAGGATGTAAACACGAAAAATTAGGAAGTTGCAAAATCTGTTTCTCGTATCACCCACTTGCTATTAGTTTAGGAATAGCTCTAGAAGTCTCCCATACCAAACTCATCTTTTAATATCTCAATCGCATCTCGAAAAACCCATCACCCCACACCCATCTTGGAAAAAAACACGCACCAAATTTTGTCTTCAAACCCTTTGCGCGGGAACAAGGGAGGCTGAAAAAGAATGGCGGAGCTCTCATTTTCGTTGATCTCTCTCAATTTTCGAAAATTGCAAAATTTATAAATAATGCGAGAAAGTATGTGCTTGTGGAGCGCACCTAGTATTTCCTTAAGAAGAATATGCGAGAAAGTGAACATAAGTAGCCTCAAACATCAGCAAAGACTAGAAAGACACCCAAACCACCGAGCAATCAACATTTTAGATACCAGCCATGAAAGAAATAGGCTTAATAGGGAGAAGCCACTTGATTTAAGTCATTGATTTTAGTTACTTCGTAGGAAAGGTCTGGGCGAGTTTTTCACACCTATTTCTATATAAAATATGTGATTTTTCCCTGTTGCTCTGTGACTGAACTAATTGCAAATAAACATAATGTAAAACACAAATATTGTAGTAGTTGTGGCCCACAACTCTTTAATAATAATGAAAGACATTTATGAAGTCTATTTTAAATGTTGGTTTGTGTGCGAATTCATTATTTCATGCGCGGGATATAATATGCCATTATTATTCTCAGTTACCCACAGAATTATTTTTGAAAACAATTAGGTTTACACAAATATTGCACAACAACACTAAGCATTTAGGAGTGTACAAAGTACCCATTTCACTTTTGAAGTTGGTGACGCATGTGGTCGGATCCGGGTAAGGACACTTGTTCTGTTTTGGAATATTTTTTAGAATTTGTACCGTGCATTGTAGTTAACAGGTTGTGCTTGGATCTTTCCATCAATTTGGGAGAGTTGCAATCGATTTCTATCAAACTGACCGTAGTTCGTGTCTATAAGTTCGTTCAATAAGATGTGCGCGAGGAAAAATGGAAATAAAATGTAAATTTATGGTAGAAATTTTTATATAAGTGATCTTTAATGTGATTCTATTGCATCAGGCTGTATATTTCTGAAGTTCGTAAATCGTATAAATTCCAGTTATGTGACTGGTTCTGGTAGTGTTTGAATGGTACTTGTAATTTCAGAAGACATATCACATAGAATTAAGAGGTATCACCTTAACATTTTACTAACGAAAATATGAGTATTATTATTTTAAAAAACGAGTAACGTTCCAAATGGTTGGTTGAAGGTAGAAATGCGACATTAGTGTCGTGTTTTTTCAACACATTAAACAAAGCATTCAATAATATACATTTTTTATCGATGATTTTTAACATCGATGTTTTGTGTTCGATGCTTTTACGTGGCCGTTTTTTTTTCTTCAAATGAACATATTGTTCTGTGCTACTTTTCACATGTCCATAAAATTGAATATTCTTCAGACCAACGTGACTAAGTTTGAAAAATACTAAAATCGAGGTTTTGTCAAAAAAAATAACTTATATAATATTTGAAAAGTCTAACCAGGTACCGTAATAGAAGTGATTTTAATTGCCAATATGATATTTGACTTTGGTTTGTGAGTTAAATTCCAATTAAAAATTAATAAACACAACTACTTTCAAATTAAATCTCTCCCGCGTAAACGTAAATGGTTACTAATCAAGTCGTAGAAACATCGTTATTTAGTAATATCTATACTTTGGGGTCGATATTTTATTAACATCGATGTTTTTATTTTGCGCATCGACGAATAGAAACATGTTTTATTGGCGATGGCGCATCATTAGTTGAAGATCATAAGATAATCATCCGCAATTTGAAATGTTGAATTAAGATGCATGATGTCGGGAGAAAATAAATATTTTTTTTATTTCTTTTGTTGTACATTTTATTTTTAAGAAACATATTATTGAATGTACCTTTATAGAGAGTTCAATTTTTGTGGTCTTCTTGCTATATATGAAAGTCACTTGTAAGAATAAAATAGTGTTACTCGATACTTCGTGAATTCGAACTTCGCGCTTTGAACTCTGAAAGAGGTTTTCCAGAGCGCTAATAGAGTTCGCTTCCATCCTACAGCGCAATCGATGTACTTTGGTGTCGTGCATGGCTAATGTCTTGTCGAGTGTACACTTTGAATTTTTAATATTAGAGCTTGCATTCATCTGTCATATTGGTGACATTTGTTGCAAAATGATGCCTTTTCTGAACTTTTAGGTCCACCAGTCCTTACATTTTCTTTACTTTTGAATTTTTTTGATGAAGGCGCACTTTTCATTTCAAGTATTTAAATCTACTTAAGAAAACTCTGTTTTCTCTAGCAACCTTACACTCATATGCATTCTTGACGGCGAAGAGCTAGCGGCAATCAGTCGATAGTTATATAACAACGAAATAATGAACGAATTATTCAGCGTCCATTATTAATTTAGACCTTATATTCCGTGTTTAATCTGTAATTATGATTAAAAATAGCAAGCGTGAAAACATATGGAGCCCACTATCTTTCATTTTAAGCACTAATCACGAAGTGTGGTTCAGCGGAATGTTCAAACTTCTTTTTAAATGAAAACCATCCATGTTTTAAATATAAATCTACAGATGTTGGAAGATTTAATGACAATCGGAAGTAGTATTCCATTGATATAAATGCATTTTCTTCTATATGACCAAAAAGTTCAAGAAAGATTTTCAGCCATTTTCCAAGAAATACGGACATCATGTGAAGTACACCGAAAAAATTAAAATATACCAATGATCTCAGAAAAATTACATCTTTACCTTACATCTGACGAATTCGGAAAGTTTCAGCTCAAAAGCTTCTCATCTGATAGTTATGTGTGACACGTATGTCGGTCCGTCCGTCCCTCCCTTCCGTCCGACCGTTCGTCTCTTTAATCCGGCATCGTTATTCCGGCACGTTAATCCGGCACGTTAATCCAGCTCGGTTATTGCGGCTCGGTTAATACGTCCATATCATCCATGTACAAATCGATTTTCGGGAACAAAATTGCACGTAACTCCTCTCCACCATCACCAATCTTAATCTTCTTTGAAACAACACTAATAGACCTACTGCTATACGATGACGTGTGCGAAGTCACAGCTCAAAAGAACCTTAAGGATGGATTTTACGACCGATATTCGAAACCATATTATTCAGGGAATGGGAACACTCTCTTCCTATAGAACGGTACTATACGGATACTCGTAGTATACTGTACGGATACACTAGTACACTGTAGCATAATGTAGAAAGGAAAAGTTAAAAAAAGAAAACGTATATGGAAAGGGGGATAAGACTCACCAAGGCGAAGACCTCCATGCAGGGCTGCAACTATCGTCAGGGTAACTGAGGCAGGGCTCCAGAGGAACGTTTCACATTGCTCCTGTGAAACGCAAGTCAGTCTCTGCGCCATCCAATCACAGCACCTCAGAGCTCTGGTTGGGTCTGCCCTCGATGTAATTATCAAAAATCCCTTACAGAAGAGTGATAGGGTAGTTTGAATCGCGTGTCACGTAATCTTTACCGACGGGAGCTGATATTATTTCTAACATATATAATATAAAACTTCAAATGCTATTGTGTAGATAAATAGCAGACTTGAAAATAGTGGAAATTTCTGTTTTTCGATTTGATACGATGATAACTGTTAATTAGAAGAAGTCATTCATATCTGAGTCACAATTCTTTATGACTAAGGCTTGGACTTTTTTATAAATGTTTTTCCCCTATTGGCTTTGAGCTTTGGAAGTTTAGTGGAAATTGAAGTAGCTAGTTTCCATATACCAAATTGCGTATCATCTAAAAATAAATATTTTGCTTAAGTTGCATAAAAATAAATATTTTCGTCGAAACAAATAATAATTCTTTTTTCCCTAAATTTTATATGAAATATGAAGATTTTGAGCATCTTCAAATTAAATACTTAGGAGTTTTAGAATATATTGGGAGTGACATACCAGTTTGGATTGCAGTGGTAGGTCACACATTAAAGTTATTGTGGGGCTTCCCCGACTGATTGGAGTGTGTCTGGTTCACGACCGGTGAAGATCTCTGAGGTCCATTCTAAAACTCCTGTTGATTCGGGCGGCACTTCGAAAGCTAATAGACACTCCTTACACGAACTGTGGTCCCAAACTTCGTCAGATACACAGATTAAAAGGGCATAATGGTGAACAGGATGTCGTCACGTTTTACTTCGAAACTTCTCTCGATCTTGGTTGCTAGGTTTCATATGGGTTATTATTATTTTCGTCGTTTTAAAACTGATTTTCAGTATTACAAATTCAAGCACATAAAAATAATTTTGTTTCGTTTTTTAGCACCTAAAAGTTCGAAACCTACTTATAACTATTACCATAAACGTAACTTTATAATACATGTTTTGCAGGTTCTTCATTCCATGATATCTATTGACAGCAAATCGTCTGTCAGCGCCTGAACCGTTCAGTCGATTTTCGCAAAATTGATCTCCTGATTGAATTCTTCGAACGATCTAAACGAATCCAGACCCTGAAAATTTGACACGGATAGGCTTTGATTTTACACGGCTTTGATTTTAGGCGACAGCTAATCTAAACCTCAACTTTTCGAAATTGTCTCAAAAATAGCTCCAAATATTTTGATTATACTTTACACTCAGACATCGTTAAGAACACAAAAAATGGTGCTCATATCTTTTTTGTTATCTCTGAATTTTAAAAAAATTATGAAAGTTCAAAATTCTTTAGACATCTTCTGTATCTAAAATAGAGATGTTAAATATTTTTGTTTATGTGATGAGTTTTTGAAAGATAAATCTTGAAACATAGTCAAGTACAATTTTAAAAAATATTTGGTTTCCGTTAATTTTGCTTGAAATTCAGGCAATTATTAAGTAATAATTTTCTCAAATTTGGCTCAATACTTTTTCTTTATATTTATTCCTTATATGTAGTAAAAAAGAGTAATAAAGTGGTGATGGTCTCATTTTCGGCGAACTCTCTGTATTCTCAAATATTGCAATATTTATGACTGAATTATTTTCTTAAACGAAACCTATTCTAAAATTAGGTGATTAAATAAGGTATGGAAATTGTTTCAAAAATAGAGTGGTCGCATAATGTCTGCTCAAAGTTCATGTGATTTATAAAAACATCTGAAAAACTGCTCTAATTTTTTTCTTAAAAAAACAACAAACAAACGCTTGGAAAATGGACGCAAAGCTCACTTTTGTTCAATTTCGATAATTGCAAATATGCAAATCACGCGAGAAAGTATTTATTATTGTACCGCAAGTAGTCTCTAATGTCGACGAACAATCATTTTCTAAGTGAACTGAATCTAATGAATCTGGGAAATATACTTTCATTCCAACCAGTGCGCTGGAACGTTGATAAGCATCATATTACTACGACGTTATCTATATGACTTATCAGTAGATTTCAATTTTTTATTATATTTTCAATCTAATTGTTTTGAGAGAATTTTGAAAACGTGGCTAAAACGTTGCGTAAATTTTGGGCTTCCAGATTACTAGTTAAAGGGAAAGATAAGATAACTAATATTACAGGAACAAATATCGTGAGATATATTGTGGTAACAAGTGTTTCAAAGATATGAATAATAATTATTTCGACAGCCACTAGTTAAAGCGGTATTTCCAAGGTATGCATAGTGTTCAATTTTTAGCACTAGTACTAAAAGTGAGAAGATGCTAAAGTGTTCAGAGAAATCTGATAAAGCAACAAAGAAAACGAAATGCTTTCTTCTGTCCGCATAAACAACGACTGACTTAATGTAGCATTAAGTGATTTGAATACTATTTTTCTTTTTTTTTACTAGATTAAAAATGAAACAAAATAAAGACCGTCTAAAAATAGTATATGACACACTTGGTAGAAGTTATTTTATTTTGCTTGTATAATTGTTCCATTTGGCCTATCGGCTTAATTACGTAATTTTTCTTACTCGCTAAAAATGTCACTTTTACCACTAGTATCGTATTTCACCAAACAAGGGAGCACTGATTTAGAACTAATCACATGACAATATTTCTTGTTTGAGTGCTCTCTACCACTCATTGCCTCCGCTAAAAGTTAGCAATTGCTTTCATTACGAAACTAGTGGTCTAACATCAGCACACACTTTCTCGCATTATTTCTAAATTTTTAATTCTTGGAGTTCAACGAAAATTAGACTCGCGCCTTTCTTTTAAACTTAAAAAACGTTTGAAGAAAAAATTTTTTTCGGGCGGATTTTGAGGGAAAAAATTAGTAATTTTATGAATTTTGGACACAAATTACTAGTTTTTTTAAAATGTACATAGTATGTACAACCTCTATGCTACCTACTCGTCTCCTGATGATGATGTGGTGAAGTGCGTGCAGTGAGATGTGTAAATGTCAGGGAAGCCGGGGGGAGGCGGACGAAGAAGTACAGACAGCGCACGGTCTGTGCCCTTTTGCTAACAGTCGCTCGCCAATGCGGGTCAGCTATATACCCAAGTGCGGCTGTTTACCTCCTAGCTTTGTTTAGACAACAAGTTGCGGTTTTATCTTAAGATTTTCTTTAGTTTTTCAGAGTTTCAATAGTAAAGGATTTGTAGGCTATCAATGGCGATATTGTTATAACATTATTCATTGTAAAAAAATTCGAGGAAGTATGTGCTTTTGAAGCACCACAAGTTGAAGTTTTACTTTTATTTGGCACTGGCTCAGGGAATGGAGCCGAAATTGAAAATCCAATTGGGGATGGAGTTAAGGGATACGAGTTGTTATATAAGGCAGGATGCGGCGAGAAATAGGAATAATTGCGATTTTTAAAAAAATATCACTTAAAGTAGGATCAAGCTACAGCTGAGTCGCGTATGTGGGTTTGCAGACACGCCGCAGACACGCCGGGGGCCTCAAGGGTGGCCACTGCCTTCACCTCCGCCGTCGCCGCTTCCGTGCTCTATCTCCGCCGCGTCTGTCCTTGCCTCCATCGCAACCTCCCATCCCGCTATGGGCTCTGCTATCGCCCTTGCCGCCTCCGCCGCCACCACTGCCGCCGCCGCCACCGCCTCCTCCACCTCCACCGCCGCCACCGCCACCGCCGCCGCCGCGCGGGCGGTCACCGGATAAAGCCGATTAAGGCGGCGAAGGGCTGCCCGGTGGCCGGGGGCGGGTGGGGGTGGGGGGCGGAGGACGACCGACCGCCGTCACGCCCACGCCGGAATCTCTGCTCCGGCGGCCCGCGCGCCTCCACCCCTTCCCCTCCTCTTCTCCCTCCTCCATCTCGCCCCCGCGGCTCGCTGACTCTGCTCGCGCCGACGGCCCCGTGATGTTCCAACCTTCCACTGCAGAGGTAGCACGAGACTTTTCTGTTGTAGACAAGGGCGGTTACGGAGGCATAGTAACCCCCCTCCCCATAAAAATATAAACTATTTATTAATTAAATTTGTTGCAAGAATTGGTTGCCCCGAGCGGTATACGAACCCGAGCCTTCTGGTTTACGCTCAGCCGCTCTAAATTGCTCCAGAGCAGCTGGGCGTAAATCAGAAGACCCGGGTTAGTACACCGGTCGGGGCGAACAAATCTTTGAACAAATTTAATTATTAAAATGCATTGTCATTCAGTAACATGGTCACAATTTGGATTTCTTTATGATTGCGGAACATATTCTCCGAGCGTAATTGCGTCCAACAAGGTGACGGGAAGGTGATAATTATATATAAACTATTTATATAAACTGAAAATACATAGTCATGGAATAGACTGGCACGAAGAACACTTTTTATATCGATGTAACAGCGTTACGAGACTTTCATTAACTTCAAAAATTTTCATAAACAGACTAACTTTGATAAAAAGATAACATTTAATGAGGTGAAATATTCAAGCGTTCAACGTTTCCTCAACACGGCTCCGTTTGGGCTCGAATCTACGAATTTGTCGTATACTAACCACATATACTTGATATTTTAGATGAATTTCTTAGTACAAAAAATTGAATGAGTTGAGCTGCCTCGGAAGTTTTGGGGAAAAGTTTTGCTTCCGGCGCCCTCTTTTCTCAACTCTCGACTGCCTGTCAGCGAGTTGGCATTGGTGGGCGGGTGCGAGTATTCAGGCTTGCAATGGTCAATCGATGCCATGCATTGGACGCCCTTTGCTTGCCAAAAAAAAGCATCAACTGTCACCGATACGAAACGCGTGATGCGACTTCCTTCCACGAGGAAGTGGCTCAGCCGTTGCTTATGGATCTGTCAATAAGAATTTTCGAGCATTGCCGTGGATGTTTTTTGAACGCGGTTCAGTTATACACACGGCACCGATTATACTTCATTAGAGATATTCAGAAGTAGCGCAGTGTGGGTTGTGGTACGGGTGACCACGAGAAACGAGACCAACTGCGACCCAGAGTGCGCCTCTGCAGTTGCGGAAAACCAACCCTGTTTACAGAATGCAGCTGACGTCAGTCCATTACCTCGGGCTTTTGCGCTTCCCTCTCTGGTGGTGACAAAAATTTGCCTCCGCTCACATGTCACGAAGCTCCGGGTCGTAATTTGCGTCACTTCTTGCGTAACTTCTCTCTGGGCATGAATGAACACTTTCCACACGGATCAGTGTAACTATGAAAAACTGTCACCATTTTCGATGGATTAAGTTGAAAGCTTTTTCACAAGAATCGAACGATTACGAGTATCATAATAGCCTTAATAAATATCTTCTCTCTCATTTCGCACAACCAAGCAGTAGAACCAAATCGTTTAGTCATATCGACTCTAGACGGTCCAACAATATTTAGTTAGATCCAGACTTTTGAAGCACTTGCAAATCTGTATGTATATGGGATTTCGAAAAACCTTTCATTTATCAGTCTTTCTCATCCCTTAAAAATGAAATTAAGTGCGCCATCTTTCAGTTGTTTTTTTTTCAAATATCTCGAAAAGTAAGAGAAAATCGTCCAACATAGATTTAAATTTACTGAAAGTCCAGTAATGACCCCACTAAATATATTTTATTTCATTTCGATAGCGCAGTTGGTATCCTAGCGAAAGGCAAACGTTGAATCTTATTTCCCACTGACTTTGTGGGATATTTTTTCCTATCTATTATAATGTCTGGCAACCCGCAATGCATCTTAAAATCACGGACTGCGACCTAGGGGGTGTACGGGGCGTAGGTCGTTGCGTGATCTCTTATGACGAATAAGAAATAATGAATTATCATAGAACCGCAATTTAAAACAAAACTTAATGTGTTATTGAATCCTTTAATGTTATAATATCCTTAAATAGACAGTCAAAGACGGGCATAATATATGTTATTACATTATGCACTTGTATTTACTATAAGTATTGTATAGTACCAAGTATCTCAGACCGATTTCCTTCTTCAGATACAAGAGCTAAACCAGACATACCTGAAACGTTATTCATAAAACGTAATGCAACAACTAATTCCAATGTAATTTATTTACTTCAACGTATAATTTTATCCTGAAGAAATTACAAAACAAGAAATATCATTATTCATTTTCAGTACATGGCAAATAAAATTTTCTCTCTGAGTTGCCCCTCCCTTACCTCATTTACTGTCTCTTCCAATTCGTGGTTACCCCTTCCCCACCCTTTAAGTTCGTAGTCGCAGCTAGTGTCAGCTGTTTTGTTTCAATGCGCCTCTCAATGGCCGAACGACAACCGCACCCGGGACACAACCCCTAGGGCACATCTGGAAAAAAGTTGTAATTTTTACTATATCCGATGTACTTTGTGATATTTAATGCCAAATATAACATTTATAGTACAGTTTAATTTTAAAAGAAATATTTGATGCTGACATTTTAGTCTGAAATAGGTTTGAATTAAATAATATTATCAAGGTGATTGTGAATATCTATTCATTCTTGTCTTGTACAATGGAATTTTAATAATGTAACTTAGACTCATTGAAAATATACTAATAGAGTTCTATTCTATCTATTGATAGATAGAATTAGAATAGATCTTTATATCGTAATAGATGGTATTCTATCTGTTTTAGCAGATGCGTCATGAGAAAACAAAGAACCTGGGGCAGATGCACTGCATCGTGAGTGCTTCGTGGGGCCGCCCCTTGGAACGGCCCAATCGATCACCTTTCTTCTTGGATCATCGCTGTAAGTACAGACTTATAGTGTTACTTTTCTTTACGAAGGTTAAATTTTAGTTTCTTAAGGACTACCTATCTTCATATGTTGCTTAAAATTTTTGAAAGGTCCATTGATTCCTTAAGGCAGACAGTATAAGAAAGTTTATTGAACAAATAAAATAAAACAATAAAAAGTGTTCAATAAACTTTGTTATACTGACTGCTTTAAAAATCAATGGACATGTCAAAAATTTAATAGTGTTACAACCCACAGAATTTAAGAGCGCTTGCCACGGCGTTTTCTTTGTGTTTTCTCCAAGATGATTTCGCTGTGAATAGTCGATGAGTTTTCTTGAATTTCTAGCAGTTAGCAATAATACTTGTGAATTGCATACACTCCTCAGAAATTAAAAGCGGTCTTAACTTCATAACATTGTCCAACTTGCCATTTTCCAGTTTATGCCTAGATGAAAAATTTGACATCTGGAATTAGGAGTGCCACTGCAATGAAGATATACTACGTTTAGAAATGATTACGATTCTATCACAGGTTCTTGATTCCATAAATATTCTTGGAAAGTAATTTTGTAAAACGTTTCAACGGAAATCAACGATGTTGCCCATCGTCTGGCGCTTATCATTTCACTCACTTGTAATTCTCGAAATCTAGATGTGCGACTGTCGTTTCCCGAACAGGAAGCTCCCTCTTCGAAGAAGCGCCTGCGTGCCGCCTTTTCGCCGAATCCCCCGTGCGCGTAGCAGGTTCGTTTGCGGAAGCCTCTCCGAGTCCCTGTTTCGCGAACCGGGCAATTAAGGGCGTAGAGCGCGCGTTATGTACAGTATACGCGCCCCACTGGCTTCCTGGCAGCAAACAAACTAGTGCTACAACACTGTCAAGCCTTTTCGCGTGTACGATTACGTAATGATATAACATTGCAACAACTATAACACTATTACCGTACTTCCACAATCACTTGGACTCCTAACCGAACGGGCCATTTTTGTTTGTTTGATTGATTAGTGTTTCCGGGCGCGACATCTGATAGTCGTTTGTCCCTTAAGTACAGTACATGTTTTATTTTCGCTGTAGGTGATGTTTATCTCCCGCTGAATGACGAGATCAGGAGATGACCTACACGTCGGCTAGCGGGAATTCCCCCAACTAGATATCTCCCAGCAGCGGGGCGCCACCGCATCCGGGACAAGCTCTAAGCTCCCGACTGGTCCCCGACCAATGTGGAAGGGTAGTGTTTGTAAATGTACGGAGTGGGGATAGAACAAGGAAGGGGAAGGAATGATCAAGCGGTTTGTTCGTTTTAGGGTGCTGCTCCGGCATTCGCCTGATGTCGATTAGAGAAGCCACGGAAACCTAGCGATCAGAGCAGCCGGTCGCTAGAATTCTCCTTCAGTCGGCGACTGAACTCGAACTAGTAATCTAGTCAGTGTCGAAAATGCTGCCACCGCCGGGACTCCAATCCTAGGACCTCCCAATCAGAGGTACTGCAGTGGCATCAATTGACCCCATGAGACACCTAAGCCGGTCGAACGGTAGCTTCAGATAAAAAATAGTATATTTATATTTTCAAATTTCAAAAATTTAAATGAAACTTTTTCTTTCATTGAATTGAGTGTAATGTGCATTATATGTACAAAAATTTTAAGAAAAATGTACTAGATTAGGAATTGAAACCAGTTCCATGAAATTGCTCGCGTTTTCTCTGAATCAACGAGACAGTACTCAATTAACCGCGTCTATTGAATTAAAATATATTCAACTTATGATTCTTCACATTTCAACTGGGAACTTTACGAAAACTTGAAAATCTTCAAAAATGTATATAAAATATTTTTTTTATATTGAGGAAAAGATTATATAGTAAAAAAATCCTTGCTTCAATTTTGAAGGTGAAGGAAAGTCTCGAAAAATAGTTACTTATGCAGCAAGGGCGTGGTAAGTGTTCTAATGATGGAGAGGCGACAGAAAGCCGAGATTATTGGAAGCAGTTAACGCCCCTGGTAGATAAAAGATTTTTTTACTTAATTTTAATGATTAAGATTGTCTTATTTACTAATTAACTAGATGTTAATTCGACTGGTTTGTCTTTTCATATTTTCTTACCATAATTCCATTTCATAATTGCTCCCGTAAGGAAACGTGTAGCATCATTGAGCTGTTTTAATATTTGGGCTTCATTCATATGCTCACTCGAATCCACACGACTTTGTCGGAAACTTACCTCTGTACCAGTTAGTTAAAAACATGTCTTTGAGGAGCTCTATTTCACAGTCTAAGGGTTTTTTATTCACACTTTAGTTGCTCTCATGACCAGAGTTTACAACCCCTTCCCCTCCCTCCCATACAATTGCCGGTGATGGTACGAGACGGCGAGCAGGCAACGTTTGTTATGGATAGGTTTCCAGTAAACACTGTGCTCCGGGCTGCCACCGCCAAATACCGGGACTCCTTACTCCGAATTACCTTTCCAACTCACCAAAACGTCGAAGAAGGGCAATTTACCCTCGTTTTCCCCCTCCATAGTGAACTTCATTTTGGAGTGGGTGTAGTAGAAGCGCTGAAGGAAGTCAGCTAAGGCGTGAGGGTTGTGGTGTCAGACTATCAGCGTTCTTCTACAATCCATAGTGCAATGCTCTTATGGAACAATGTGGTACAAATATTCAATCAAATGGAGCAATGTTCACTTAATAAGAAATCTTGGATTCAATATCTCTCAAAAACTGGAATTTCGAAATTTGCTAAAGTTATTTTATTTTACTGGATTTACTATACTATTTTCTAGATTGGACAGCGTGTCCCCACTTCTTAACTTGCCTAATTAATTTACGACACTGCAAAGTTCAATTGGAGTCAGATGCCGAGTGATCTTCGTTGAATGCAAACGTGTTCTCTGTGCGAAGTGGTTTGCCTTAAGATCAATTTTTGGCTGCTGTGGCGTTAGCACTACTGTGCATGTCATTTTAAAGTGTCTGAGCTCACGTAAGTGTACTTGTACTCTAGTGAAACTGAATAAGACTGTTACGTTCTTCGTGTAATGTACATTTTGTAAATAATAACCCCCGAAAAGCCTAAAGGGCCGAACGAGTAGGAAATAAAATTTTAAAAAACTATAAAAACAATTAAACTGTATTTCAATATTGCGTTAATCGGCAAATAAATGAAATGTTATCAATCATGTGATTTGAAGTTCCAAACTGTGCTTGTTTACTGAAACATGAACTGAAAACCTCTAGCGCGTGCCAACGACAGTGTGTGTTAAACGGATTTGTCCCGGGTGTGGACAGAACTTCTTCACAAGTGCTGAAGGGCACGTCATGACGACTTGCTACTAGAAAAATCTTCGTCCACTCTGGGCGAGCAAACTCGACCACTCGGCCAGTCTACAGAGTACCAGCTCTTCAAGCCACATTATATACGTGAGGCGTATGCGTTCCTCTTTTACGGAAGTTGGTGCATTTGACGGGAATACATTTTATTTTGTTTTTATCATATTTGTGGTGTGAACACTATACGATGAGTTCCGCGATCCACATTCCCTTCAAATTATTCTGATGGGCTATCTTAGGGTTCTGGCTAGTGTATGTAACACCATTTCATCATACTGTCTACTTATCAGACAGTCCTCCATTTGCACATTTTGATTAAAACGATTTCATCCTACCTACTATTTGTCAAAGTGGTTGTTTAGAAAGCTACGACGAAAAAAAGTAGGTAGGTGTAGAAACAGACCAATTACGCGAAAGTTATCAATGAAATATGACAATATTTCATAAACTGTTAATAAAATGATGCTTATATCTATAGTAATCGTATGTTGTGTTCACCATACTGTGAACGTTTACTTTATCTTTACTTCCGAAAAATTATACGAATGTAAATATTCTAGACCACTTGCACGGAGTAGGACATGATTTAAATGTTACAACAATCTTAACGCCGTATCTTGGCACATTACCAATACGAGAGGTGTTACCATTTAGGCACCACCTGTTTCTCTGTCAATAAGATTCTCGTCCAATTGGGTCACAAGAAACGCTCTATACAAAGTTGTCTTATTGAAAACTGAGTATTTAATTAATTGGAATTAAACTTTTACTTTATTAGCATTCTCCATATTGTGTTAAAGCAACTATATTCCAGGAATTGCTCCAATTATCATTTGATTCTATTATTACGTTAGCGGCGGAAAATTCTGAGTCCATTTCCATTTTTCCATCTCGCAGCCTAATAAAAAACCGTATAATAATTTATTTGAGAGATCATCGAATGTGAGTAAGAAAACATACGGAAACATGCGTAATGAAAGGAAGTTCGTGCACGCATGCTTCTTCATGCTCTTGCGTAATTAATTATTCGCAGTGAAGCTGACGGTGAATAGCGCATCAATTGAATCAACCATGTCGAAAGAGATTTGCCGCTGCAAACCATGTGTTCCAGAAAAGTATACGTTCTCTCCGTTTTCAAACTGGCAATAAATTATTGTCTCAAATCGTGCACTCATTTGCACACAATGCACAATAGCTTTATGAATACGGAATGTTCCCATTAAAGATGCATTTATCATTTCTTCTACTTGATTTGTTAAATATTTTACTAAACTCATCCCAACAAATTTAGCATGTCTGATTTCTTCGAATGGAATTTTAATGCTGACATTGTTATTTCTTGGTTATAAACGAATGAAAATCCTTGGTGGGAAAATTAAGAAAACAAACAAATATACATTGATCTGGATATGTGGAAAAGCATACAAAAAATAAAATACTCGACAGAAAAACACTTTAATTGAAAATGGCACATCTATGCCATTCCAGTAACAGGAGAACGTCAAGTGGTCAGGTGGAGAAGGTGGGGTGTGGTCATCAATGGGTGGGCGACGGCGAACCGCAGAGTAAAATGAGATACAATTAGTGAGACATGCTATACATTTAAGAAGTAATGATAAATGTACAATTTAGCAATGCGCTACAGTCATTTTTTCCCTGTTTGTATTAAAATATTTTCTGCTTTTGAGATATGGCAAGGATATAAGAATGTTGAAATAGTTCTTTCAAAAATAAAATGGAAAAATAAGAAAAACATCTGTACCTGCGGTGCTTCCCGCAGGGATAAAGATGGTCTCGTGCGTTTCTTTTGAAGAAATAGTTCAACATTGTAGGCGCGGATACACGGGGCGGGAAATCCCCTCACTAAAAGTTGTCGGTAACTATTAATTTTCACGAAACTTCGTTCAAAAATATTTTCTGGTAATCATTAAAACGAATAAAATCGTATCCAAGAATGAGCTGAGTGTAGCGTGCAACATTTTACAAAATTTGTAATATGGCACATTCGACCAAAACATTTTGAATTTCCTCACCCAAAATGTGCCTCTAGATTCGCTCCTGAACATTCACTATATGTATTGTAATAATCACTAAACTCTTCAGCGAGCTCCGGTGGCACAATTGTTCTATACATCGACAGACAGTAAAAATAAGATTTCAAGGGGATTACGCACGATTGGCTGAAAGAGTACGCTAAAGTTTCTGCGGAGCGATGACGCATGTCGACGATTTCGAATTGGTTCTTAAACATCCGGTATGTTGAAACGCGAAACTCACTAAGGGTTCAGAAAGGTTCTAATAATAAGTCCTAAATGATGAAACAATAACTCCTTTAAAAATCTTGACGAATAGGTCGGAAATCATACACAATGGTGATATTTAATTTCCATTAAAATTCGACCATGAAAAGTAGGTGT